TTCTGAAATCTTTTTGTCATTTTATTTTTTCAAATAACATATCCCATCATAGAAGGTAACATCTCTTACGATACTTTTAATAGTTGTGTTATTTCTTTTTTTCAATTTTGCACTTTCATGTTTATTGTTATCCATTCAAAACGTATATGATGTTTGGCACATCTTAAGTATTTATGAGTATTTTTTGGTAAAGGTGTAAAAATATCCTAAGTTTTACTCAAAGTGTGTGCAACATCATATGCTTTTGGAAAGTATAAAAATACCCATAAATTTTATAAAATTAAAACAAAAATAAAAAAATGACACAATCATTCAATTTACATAGCCATTGTTACCTTTTGTGGTTGGGCCATGCTATTGTTATATATAAAAGCATGTCTTCGTGGAAGGGCATCAAATATTATATGTCTTTTAATTTTTTCAGTTTTGGCATAAAAAAAAAAAGCTCTATTAAATTTTAGGAAAAATTAATTTGCCAGTCCTTATAATTGAACCTAATTTTGAATCAAGTCCCTATATTTTTTTGTTTTTTTTTATTCAATCCCTATTGTTTGATCTGTTATTAGCGTTAGTCCTTCTGTTTGTTAAGCTTGCATTTGCCGTTAGTTTCAGTTGACTGGAGGTGATGTGGCGTCTGAAAAAGAAAATCTGAGCATGCGCAATCATCTTCCTCCTCTCGCATCTTCTCTCTCCTCCTCCACAGTCTCCTCCAAGCATGCTATGATCTCATTTTCACTGTTCATGTTCTCTCCTCCCTTCACCACCATCGTCCTTATCTCCTCCTGTAGAAGCTTCGTTGTGTTTCAGATGATGGTGGAGATAAGGAACAAACAAAATTTTACATAGATTAATAATATGGACCCTGTAGAAGCTTCGTTGTGTTTCACATGCTACTGTTATAAAAGCATTTGCTCGCGGAAGTGCATCAAATATTATGTATTTTTTAATTTTTTTCAGTTTTGGCATAAAAAAGCTGTATTAACTTTTATTATAATATTAATAATAAGTTTATGGTTAATGAATTAATGTATATCTTTGTTCTTTTAAATTTACATCAAGTTTTAATTTAGTTTTTTTTAATTCATAAAGTGTATTTTTAATCTTTTAATGTTAACACTATTTGGTGGTGAAAAAAAAATGTTAACACTGTTTGTCTGGTTAACAAAAATTATGAACTCAATGAATTTAAACAACGTACTTTGCAATTAAATATTCACGTATTAATTTTTAATTAAAAATTTGTAAATTGAAAAATATTTAAAATAAAACTGTTGTCTGATTTTTAACATCAATTACTCATCTTTCAATGTATAAAAATATTATATTAAATGATTAAATCTTAAGCATGTTTTTTGTAACACCTCATTCAACGGCATGTAGACTTACAATTCAATCAACCAAATCTCACAAGAGCTTAGAGACTTCGCCGTAATGACACCAGTCCGACAACAAACTATCCAAAATAATTCAAAGTATCAATTTGGTTTGTTAAAAATATTTTAAACAGAAAAATAAAACAACATGGTCCTAGAGTCATGAGTCATGACGATTAAATATAAAGCCAAAGGTGCATCTAGCATTTTGATTTTATTTTTCATGTGCATCAAGTATTTGAATATTTTTTATAATACATTCAGTACTTTAATATTATTTTTAGTATATCAATCACCTTAATTTTTTAAAAAAATGATAAAAAAAAAACCGTCGAAATAGAAAATTTACAAATAAAGACCCATGATAATATTATATTTGTATGAGTTTTGACAATAATTTTTATAAACCGATTTTTATATGCAATTCTTATATTTCGGTGGTTTTTTTTTGGTCATTTGCCCCAATTTTTACATAGCAATAATATTTCAACAAACGTAGCAAGTACCTCGGGCCAATTTCTGAGCAAGAGCCTGACGACAAATCAATAATGTGAGAAAAATGACCATAATATTTTTAGTTGAGCAAACGAGGTTCACAGAGTTGAACATTCCGAAGTGCTTTCCAACGAAACATGAACCCCGTGGTCCTGTACGAATTATCTAGAAATTTCCATATTTTCATAATTCACTTGCCGACAATATTCTTATACTATAACGGTTTAAATTTGGATAAAGTAAACCTGTCATTAAATTCATGTGAATGAAAATTAAATGAAAGAATTTGATCCGTAACGAGTTCGTTGAATTGGTATGCATTAATAACTACCAAAAAATTGGAAATTTTAATATTCTAATCATCATCAGTGTCATTCGCATTTTTTTTCAAAAAAGAAATTCATGACAAGTTATACTATTTTGAAACCATTAATATGTACAGCTTACCTTGGGTTTAATTTGCATAAATCACTGGAAAATATGTCAACTATTTTCGTGTGAATAGAGAACGTCTTCATTCAATTGATACAGATTGGAATTCCAGAAATTTGAATGGAAATGTCCTTTTATTCAACATTACGTTAGTCAAAGTATAAGGCCATGTTCATTCGGCTAACGGATCGGATTAATAGCCACACATGCCCATTTGAAATTTCTAGGTTCCTTCCCGCTGCCTGCGTCTAGATTTTTTTCCCCCCACGAACTATTGGTTTTCTACTGCAAGAAAGACGCTGAAAATTAAACATTTTCCTTCTTGTTCTTTTTTAATTTCTTTTTGTAGGCCTAATTTTTTTGGTTTTCTTATAATTACTTATTAATATATTACCTCTAGTTCTTAATATAAAAACTAATTATATATTTAATTCAATTCAAATATGAGTCTTCAATTTGTATTATTTTGTCTCTCATATTTATCTACTTAGCACTCAAATAATCTCTATAGTTATTGTACATGTTAACAACGGTATTTTGAAAAAAAAAATAATACCTATTTATTATAAATAACTAATTTAACTATTTTTTTTGTAACTCTTATATTAAAAACTGGAGGTAGTATTAAACTAGAATACTACTCATGCCATTTATATAATACTTCTCCGGTCCTTAATATAGGACCCAATTGTTGAGTTGGTTTTAATCCTAAATATAAGACTCATTTCTCATATTTATCAATTTTCTCTAAATTACCCCTATAGATACTCCCTCAACCATAATCAAGTAGGAGAGGAAGAGTAGGTATTAAGAAAGATGATTATGGTATTTTAGGACAAACATGTCACAATTCTTATAATTAACTAACTTACCTAACTTCCTTAATCTAATCAAATTAGTTAAATGGGTCTTATATTAAGGACAGGAGGAGTAGTAAATATTCTTTTTATAATTAGACATACCTTTTAATATATTCAACAAAGTTAAAGGTCAATTACATTATTCGTCGTCGCTTGAAGATACAATGACTTGTTACAAATTGTATAACTTTATATTGATAATGACCGACTTATCTATAATCCTCTTATATCTTATCCTTAAGTGGGCGCTCTAGGATCTTTTTCAACACAATAACTTCTACCATCTCATTATAAACGAAAATCATTTAAATTTTATCGAAAATACTCCCTCCAATCCAAAATATAAGATATTACTAACTAATATTTACACCCACCAAAAAATGTTAGCCTATTTTGCCCTTTATCAGAAAATGTGATTGGAAAATATAATAAAATTGCTTTTCTGAACATGCTTTTATTATCTATATATCACCTCTGTTCTCTCTCCCCTATATCTAAAACCCCCTCCTCTTTAACAAGGGGTAAAAGTAGAAAATCGTCATTAAAATATCCTGTTAATTTCTTATATTTTGGATTAAAAATTTCTTCTAGAAGACTTCTTATGTTTCGAAATAGATGGAGTATATTTTCAAAATGTAGCAACATAAAATAAAAAAATTATGGTCAATAATTTAAAAACTGATGATTAATAATTACATTAAAAAATAGTAAGTGTAAGTTGTTCATATATCAAAAGATTTAAGTACTATGTTAGACAATTAACAAATTAAAAGTAGGGTTAATACGTTGATCTTTGCAGCTTAATTAAATTTTGATTTTGATTCCTGTAGTTTCAAATTGTGGTTTCTTGTACCTAAAATTTCTTTCATCCAAAACATTAGTTTCTATAGTTTTATAAGAACTTGATTTAAGTTTAACGGTATTAACTTTAGTTGACGTCGTTATGCATGGGATCAAAACTAAAACTTATTAAAAATATAAGGATTAAAGCTAAAACTCATAGGGACTAAAACCAAAATTCAATAAAGTAGATAGCGTAGTAGAACCAAAACTTATTAAAAAGTAAAAATTTCCCTTTTTAGGGAAAATTAGGAAATTTTCCATTTGGCAAATTTTTTTGGGTCCAGAGGATCTTAGTGCAATCATTTTTAATGGGTTTAACTTTTTTCAATTGCATACAACATATCTCTAACTTCGTGTAAATGCTTTCAATATGAAAGTCATTTACACATAATTAAAAGTATGTTGTGCATAGCTGATATAGAGTTATTTTAGTTATACTGGATGAAAATAATTGCACCATTTCAAATAGAAAGTAAGAAAACATATCATGTATTCAAGTGTTAGAAATTAGATTTTATCTTCTAACATTTGAATTCATGCTAAAATTCAATGAAATGAAACTACAACAATGCAAAACTAAAATGCGATGAAAATATAGGTGTTAAAACTAAAATTCGATAAAAGGACTGATAATAGTATTATTTCTTAAAAGTACGATAAAAGCAATACAAAAACACAATCGTCTCATTCTCTGAAGCCATCTAGTGGGGACATAGAAACTAGGAGTCAAGAATGTGCAGCAAATCAAAGCTAGTAAGAAAAAGATACTCAAAAAGAAAAGTGATGAACCGAACATGAAATAAATTCCGCAAACGTACGAAGAAACCTTCCTACTCAATTACTTACTTGAATTTTCTTGGTCAACCTGCTCTATATAAGTAGGGTAATCTTTATGTTATTGAAACAACATCCAAGTAAGTTATTTCAAGCCCAAACTACTAGCTGAGCATACAGATTTAGAAGAGCTCATTACCAAAAAGAAAATCATTGCATAATTATGGGTTCAATTCAAGCCAACCCAGCAAGTGAGTCCTTTGAAGCTCAAGCTCACCTGTATAAACACATTTTCAGCCACATTAATGGCGCAGTTCTTAAGTGTGCTGTTCAGCTAAGAATTCCAGACATAATCCACAGTCATGGCCAACCCCTTACTATTCCTCAATTAGCCTCCAAACTTGAAGTTCATCCAACCAAAACTGCCTCTATTGAGAGGCTTGTTCGCTTACTGGTGCACAATGGTTTCTTAGCAGAAACCAAGGTGAACGAGGAGGAACAAGAAGGGAGGAGGAAGCATATTCTCTCACTCCATCTTCTAAGCTACTTGTCAATGGCTTGGAACCTAACCTAGCACCAATGGTGTTAGGGTGTGTTGACACTGGTCTCATGGCTTCGTTTGATTTTCTGGGAAGGTGGTTCAAAGAGGAGGAGAAGACGATAGTTGAGAGCGCCTTTGGGTTAGGCTTTTGGGATCTGCTCGAACGTGATCATCAATATATGAAGTCTTTTAATGAGGGAATGGCTAGTGATTCACAGATGATGAACATGGCACTTAGAGATTGCAAGTCAATCTTCGACAAACTTGAAACCCTAGTTGATGTTGGAGGTGGCACAGGAACCACTTGTAGGATAATCTCTGAGAGATATCCTAATCTGAAGTGCATAGTGTTTGATCTTCCACAAGTTGTTGAAAGCTCTTCAGGAAGCCATAACTTGACCTATGTTGGTGGCAGCATGTTTGAATCCATCCCTTTTGCTGATGCTGTTTTGTTGAAGGCAAGCTATCTTTTATAGTTCTCTTCCTTTTTTTTTTTTTAAATAACCCTTTTCCAAACTAATCTAAATCTAATCGGTCATATTAGACCACACAGGCGTAAAAGTTTACTAACTATTTTCTTAAATTCTTTCTGATATCAACACGACCATTTTCAAAGATAAATTATTCGAAAACACTCAAAAGCACTTAAAAAGATGTTTTCACGTAAGTTAAGATAAAACTTCTCTTACATATTTACTTCTAGGTCTGTAAAATCATTTTCAAAAAGTTAATCCAAACTTTGCTCAAAAAAAAATAAAGGAAAAGAAAAAGCTAATCCAAACACCCCATTAGCTGCCAAATCATAACACACAAGCGTAAAATTCTGCAATTTCTTAAATTCGTTTTTATCCCAATCCATTTTCAAAAGATATATTGAGTCCCAAACTAGTGAGATTAGAGCAAACATAGTTGTAAAGTTATGCAAATCAGGTTTTTAATAAATTCTCTTCTTATATATATAATTGCCATAGATTTTAGATTTCATATTAATAATAATGCTATATATTGACTAATATTTAATTTAATCACCGGACAGAGGGACGTAACATTATTACCTGTTGTTGATTTTGTGCAGTGGATATTACACAACTGGGATGATGAAAGTTCCGTAAAGATACTGAACAAATGTAAGGAGGCAATTTCAAAGAAAGATGAAGGAGGAAAAGTGATCATCATTGACGCAGTGCTAAAGGAAAAGGAAGATGATAATGACATGGCACAAGTGAAACTCTTGTTTGACATTTTGATGATGAGTACTCTCAATGGAAAAGAGAGAACTGAGAAAGAATGGAACAAACTTCTTGTCTCTGCAGGCTTCAAACACCACAAGATCACTCCTCTTTTTGGTTTTAGGTCAATCATCGAGGCTTATCCCTAGTCATTATCTGTGGTTTGATGAAATTTCTAAGATGAAATTTAATTCGTCTTTTAAAATTTCATGTTTTCTGCTACGTACTTCTATAATAATAATAATTAGCCATGCATAGGCTCGCATACTACTCATATTGGTGATGTGAGATAGTAATTAAGTGAATAAAATTTGGTCCGGTTCTTTTAATTATTTGCATTATTTTTATGAGATAAGCGCATACAATTATTTTATGGACTAATTACATATAAGTCCACCATAACAAGGAAGTTGAAAAGACATTGATCTATATAAGGGAAAGTGACGTTTTGAGTAAGTTATTGAAACTTCGGTATCCATTAAAAAAATGTAGTTAAGATACGTTCCCATTTCTAAAAGATATAGTGCTTGTTTCAAGGCTTGGAGCTGCTTATTATAAGTATATTCATATAAGTCGAGATAAAACTCTTTTCGTATACTTATTTTTGTTTGAGTTTAAAAGCGGTCTACTAGCAAGATAAAAGCTAGCTGCTCTTTTCTTAGCTTTGATTGTAATCTGAACCCTTTGTAAAAATTGGAGTAATAAATTCTTCTTCACTCAAAAAAAAGAAAAGTTGTTTTTTGAAGACTTTAATCACCTATCTTCGTGCCAATTTTTGGAATCCAAATATTTTAAACTTGATGTAAGACCACTTGTAACTCTTGGAAGTTGACACATTGTAAAGCAAGCAAGGCTATTGTAAATTATGTGAGGTTTCTAATAAATTTGTTACGTTCCAAATGTGTTAAACTTTGTGCAGTATTTTTGTAATCAAGCAAGAGTACTTTTTTTGATTTCTTCCTATGAATCCAAGTGTTTAAACTTTGTCCAAGACCCGTAAATCATGGAAAGCAATTTTTACAATAAACATGATCTCGCATAAAATATGCAATAATTTGTAAACTTTTTCCGTAGGTAAAGGCTTCAATAACTTTTTCTTCTTCTTTAAAGGCCATGAGGGCATTTCAATCGTTTAACAATGATAATGGCTAATGACGAACTTGATTCTTTTTAGAACCTAGAATTGACCACCCCATGCGATACACGGGAAGAATTTATTTTATTGTAATTAATCTTAATTGATCACAATCTTTATCACTATAAAGCAATAATCTAACATCTTTTGTAAATGCTGCATTTACTATGATCAATTGCAATCAATCCGTCTTTTAAGAAAGATTTGACTTCAATTTTTATAAATTAGAAGTTATATGAAAAAATGATAATGACGTAATAAATTAATTAACCATTTGAATTCAAACAAAGAAATAACGCTTTTGACTCAAAATATAATTGGTGTCTTTTTCCAATCTCATATCTATGTTTTTAACCTTCTTATAAATATAATTTTAGAATTTTTACCCACCGACTAATACTGTAGAATTAAATTGCATAAAATGGTGCTCCAGATCCAAGAATAACGGTTTATTATTTAGGCATAATTTATTTGGTGCACTATATGTGTAATTCACTTGGGATTTGAATTTTACTTTGAGATATTGGCGGCGTCATGTGCTTCAAACTTTATAATTATATTCAGTTACAGAATTATTTTGGAGTCCCACACAGAAGATGAAAAATATGGGAACCAGTTTTGGTGCTCATAACCTTGATGAGCATCCAAAGCTCATCATATTTGAATTGTCTATATCTAATTTGAATAGTCCAAATCTAAAATCTTTAATTAATTATTTTTAAATAGAAAACAATATTTTTTTTGAAAGAATTATAGTTAATAGATTATCTTTATTTTAAATTCTATTTATATTAAAATAATTCTTTTAAACAAATAAAAATAAAAATCAAATTTGAACTATTCAAACAAGATAAGGGAGATTCAGATATGATAAAATTACCCAAAGTAGTTCCGAAAAATTTGAGTGAGGAGGGGTCGGTGCATTTAATTGGAAATATGTGAACAGTGATATCATGTTGATTTGGGTGGCGGCCTGCCCTGTCCTGCTTTGGCCCCCAGTCTAAAATTCTAGACTCAATCTCAGTGCATCCATGTGAAAATAAACCTAAGGGGGTGTTTAGGTAACCCCATAATAACTTTTTAGAAATATTTTTTTGCAAATCGAAATAAACTTCTCCATATATTTACTTCATATACCGTAAAAGCACTTCTAAAACCATGGTTTTGTTCTTACCCACCCCAAGGACCATCCTCTGTTTCGCTTTGTACGTACACTTTCTTCCTTATCTTCAACTGCCTAGTTCAACAATGGAACCACTAGGTAAGTAGCATTGAGTTTTGATAATTACCTCCTGAGTTTGTTTAACATGAACTTTCGAATAAAAAGTATTAGACAAATCTTTTGATTACACGAAACTCACAAGAAAGCTGCACATCGATCACCAACTACCAGGCAAATAAACTTTACTAATTAACACATTGCCTTGCAGATATTACCCAATACCATACTCAATACCTTTAGTAGTCCAGTGAAGAAAAATGATAGCCTCAAACTTATTGAAGAAAAATGATAGCCTCAAACTTATGCTTACAAAAAGGATTTTAAAAAAAAAGATCATAACATTCACATTCTGCTAGATATGAACACGGGTAGATACTAAAAGACTAACCAATATGTGTAACAGATGTGGAACACAATAAAGGAAGCATGAAAAATAAAACAACAAACATTCCGCAGAATTGTTACGAGGTCCTTGAAAATGAATTATTGCAATACAATATCATATTTGCCCACATTACAGAGTAATTTCTTATACCTCTTTTTTAATTCTCTAAACCATCTATTCTAGAAAAAAGACATCTTGAGTTTATGTTAGTGTCAAGCAAACCCAGGCCGATGCTCTCAAGTCAAAAATATATGAGAGACATTAGTTAGGAGAGTGAGTAGCAAGCAGACCTTGAAAGATGAAAAATATGAGAACTTAAAAAGAATAAAAAAGAATAAAAAAATCCCACCTTTGAAACCTCTCATCTCATGCTTTTCCTCCTTCCTTGAATTTTTCCATTCAAATCGAGCAACTCATGCTAAGCCATTGCTATGTTTAGAACTCGTTAGCAATCAATCACACACTAAAACCTACCCAAAGCAACAAAGGCATGCCTGAAAATTTCTTCTAAAATTCATACAGAGTAGGATCTCAGAACCAAATCTGACAAAGAGGGAAAAAAGATGAGAAGAATAGAGAAGAAAAAGATAAAGAAAAAAAGGAAAGGAAAGGAAAGAAAGACCTTTTGATTTATTAGCGATGGCAGCAACTACGCACAGCACTGTAACCACCATGCACTCAAACCTACTACACTAATGATAACCACCACATCAACCACTACAAAAAAATTGACTTTTAGTGGGGACAAAAAGTTGCCACTGAAAGTATAAAAGTCATCGCCGAAAATTCGTTGCCGTAGTGACCGTGGTTAAAAACTTTTAGCGGCAACAAAAAAAAAAGTCGCTGCTGAGAGTGATACCTAAGAAACATTAGCTTTACTGACACCACGTCATCACTGGCCACCTCCACCTCATCACTGCCAATCGCCACATCATCACCAACTAGATGCCACATCACCACTAGCCACCTCCATGTCATTGTTAGCCGCCTCCATGTTGCCACATCACCACTCCACATCACCACTCTCATGCCACGTCACCCCTCCCTGTCATCACCACCCAAATATTTTCACCTTAAATGTGTCTTCTTCACGATTCGAACTTGTGACCACCTCTTCTCGTGTCCAATCGTTTTGCCGTTGAGCTGGATTGAATTTGTTTATTATTATTGTAAGTATTCCTCAGTGAAACAATACTTGATGATTTTGTGCTAAATCGTCAAGTATTTGTTTCAAATACTTGACCGTTTTTAAGAATAAACATTAAGTATTATTTTCCTATTTAGCGCCTCCTCTTATTTGATGGTTTTTAAAATAATTGTCAAGTAATTGACATCAAATATTTATAAATATGTAGTAGTGAGTTAACACTAGAATTCGACAAAAGAACTAGCAATAGTATTACCCCATAAAAATATGATAAAAGCAATACAAAAACATAACTCTTCTTACTCTCAGGAGTTTCCTAGTGGGGACATAGAAACTAGGAGTCAAGAATGTGCAGCAAATTAAAGCCGTCAAGAAAAAAATACTAACAAACAAATTAAAGCGATCGACCCAGCAGGAAATAAATTCCACAAACGCCTAACTTTCTTAATTACTTATTTGAATTTTTTTGGTCAATCTGCTCTATATAAGGGTACTCTCTACGTTATTGAAAGAACATCCAAGTAAGTTATTTCAAGCCCAAACTGCTAACTGAGCATATGTATTTAGAAAAGCTATTACGAAAAAAAAAAAATCATTGTATAGTTATGGGTTCAATTGAAGCCAACCCAGCGAGTGAGTTCTTTGAAGCTCAAGCTCACTTGTATAAACATATCTTCAGCCGCATTAATGGCACAGTTCTTAAGTGTGCAGCTCAGCTAAGAATTCCAGACATAATCCACAGCCATGGCCAACCCCTTACTATTCCTCAATTAGCCTCCAAACTTGAAGTTCATCCAATCAAAACTGCCTCTATTGAGAGGCTTGTTCGCTTACTAGTTCACAATGGTTTCTTGGCAGAAACCAACGTGAGTAAGGAAGAAGAAAAGGAGGCATATTCTCTCACTCAATCTTCTAAACTACTTGTTAAAGGCTTGGAACCTAACCTAGCACCAATGGTGCTAGGATTTGTCAACACTGGTTTCATGGCTTCGCTTGATTTCCTAGGAAGATGTATGGTTCAAAGGGGAGGAGAAGACGATAGTTGAGAGTGCCTTTGGGTTAGGTTTTTGGAACATGATCATCAATATATGAAGTCTTTCAACGAGGGAATGGCTAGTGATTCACAGATGATGAACATGGCACTTAGAGATTGCAAGTCAATCTTCAACGGACTTGAAACCCTAGTTGATGTTAGAGGTGGCACAGGAACCACATGTAGAATCCTCTGAGACATATCCTAATCTAAAATGCATAGTTTTTGATCTTCCACAAGTTGTTGAAAACCGTCCAGGAAGCAATAACTTGAGTTATGTTGGTGGCAGCATGTTTGAATCCATCCCTTCTGCTGATGCCATTCTATTGAAGGCAAGTTATTTTCTTAACTTGTCTTCCTTTTTAAAATTAATCCCCTTCCAAAAGGTAAATTGGATCCCAATGAATCGTTCAGATAAGAACGCATAGTAGTAAAGTTTTAGTAACTAGTTTCTTAAATTCTTTTTTATACCAACCCATTTTCAAAAGATATATTGAGTCCCGGATAATCTAAATCAAACTGGTCAGATGAGACCACAAATAGGTGTAAAGTTATGCAAATCAGACTCTTCATAAATTCGCTTCTTTTACATATAATATATATATTATATAATTGCTATAGGTTTTATATTTTATATTAATAATGATATACTATCCTCAGTCCTTAATATAAGAACTAGTTTGACATTCAACTTGGTCCTAAATATAAGACTCCAATCCATTGTCTCTCATATTTATTCATGTTTTTTCAAGGTAATTGTTGTTACAGTTACACATATTAAAGGTTTCATTAAATGGTAATTTTACCTGATATACATGATTAGCAAGGGTATTCTAAGAAAAACAATACATATTTATTACAAATAACTAACTTGGCTAATTTTCTTAATTAACTCAAATTAGTCAACTAACTGTTATATTAAAGATCAAAGGTACTATTGAATAATATTTAATTTAATTATTGAACAGAGGGATGTAACGTTATCTGTTTCTGATTTTGTGCAGTGGATATTACATGATTGGGATGATGAAAACTCCATAAAGATACTGAACAAATGTAAGGAGGCAATTTCAAAGAAAACTGAAAGAGGAGGAAAAGTGATAATCATTGATGCAGTGATAAAGGAAAAGGAAGATCATAGTGACATGACACAAGTGAAACTCTTGTTTGACATTATGATGATGAATGCTGTCAATGGAAAAGAGAGAACTGAGAAAGCATGGAACAAACTTCTTGTCTCTGCAGGCTCCAAACATCACAAGATTACTCCTCATTTTGGTTTTAGGTCAATCATTGAAGCTTATGCCTAATTATTATCTGGTTTGAAATTTCTAAGACGAAATTTAGTCTTTTAAAATTGCATGCTTTCTTCTACGTACTTCTGTAATAACAATAATAATTAGCCATGCATAGGCTAGCGCATTACTGATATTGGTTATGAGAGATATTAGTTAGTAATTAAGTGAATAAAATTTGGCCCGGTTGTTTTAATTATTTGCAATATTTTTATGAGATAAGCATGTACTGTTATTTTGTGGACTAATTACATATAAGTCGATCATAATAAGGAAGTTGAAAAGACACCGATCTATATAAGGGAAAGTGAGGTTTTGAGTAAGTTGTTGAAACTTCGGTATCCTTTGAAAAAAAATGTAGTTATTAATTAATATAGCATAACATAGTTATTATGAACATTAGAAGAGTAGTTGCACTTAGATATATTCCCATTTCTAAAAAAGATAAGATATAATGCTTGTTTGGAGGCTTGAAGTTGCTTATTATATGCATGTTTATGTAAATTGAAATAAAACCCCTTTTACATATTTACTTTGTATACTGTAAATCATAATTAAAAAACTATTTTTGAAGGCTTTAATAGCCATTCCAAACAAGCCCTACATTCATGTAAATTTTTGGAGTCAAATGCTTTAAACTTGAGTAAGACCACCTCGTAACTCACGGAAGCGGACACATCGTAAAGTAAACAAGACTTTTTGTAAATTATGCAAGATTTCTAATAAATTTGTTACGTTCTAAATGTGTTAAATTTTGTGCATCCAATACCTGATATTATTTTTTTAGTTACATCCAATACCCTAATTTGTAAGGTGCTAGAGATGCACAAAAAATAAGTTCAGGTTGCTGGATCCCGATAAAAAAGATTGCAATGCCAGATGCATGTTAATTTATCCAATAAAATAATCTATTTTAATAAACACATAATCTTTCGAATTGACCCGTAAAGATTCTGCTAAAAAGAAATGGCAATGAAAAGTAGTCAACCAGGCGACAATTTAAGAATCGGGACAGACAAACATCACTAAAATGTGTTCCACGAAGAAAATAAAATATTACAACAAAATCTATCACTTACCCACTAAGAATAATCTCTTGAACAAAAAACACAAATCCTAATCCTGAAATATTATATTAACTATGACGTGCCTTGTAAAAAAGCAAAGGGTATAATGGTGATATCTTACTCACAAAATAATTCAAAACTTCCGAATTTTTCTCCCAACTTATTGACCCATTTTTCCACTATAAACAGAAACTGAGTAGCAAGAACACAAACACATCTGCAAAAAGTGAAAATATCTGCAAGAAAATGGAAGGCAAACAAGAGCAGATCAAAGGAGAAGTAGAGTTATGTGAAGCTCAAGCAGATTTGTTCAAACACATATTCAGTTTTGTAAGATCTATGTGCCTCAAAAGTGCCATCCAGATTGGCATACCAGACACAATCTTCAACCATGGCAGACCCATAACTCTTCCTCAGTTAGTCTCAGCCCTAAAAATCAACCCTTCAAGGTCCAGCCATGTCCACAGGCTCATGCGCTTACTGGTTCACTCTGGAATCTTCACTTCAACCAAAGTCCCCAAAGAAGATGATAATGATGAAGAAGAAGAACAGGGTTATGAGCTCACACCTTGTTCTAGGCTGCTTCTTAAAGATAAGATTCCCTCCATGTTTGCTTATGCTCAAGCAGTGTTTCATCCTGCAGTGATGAGCCCGGGTCAGTTCTTGGGAGATTGGCTTTATAAAGAAGAAGACAATACAGCTTTCCAAAGTGCCTTCGGGATGGAATTTTGGAGATATGGAAGTAAGAATCCTGAATTTAGCAGAGTGTTCAATGAAGGCATGATTAGTGATTCTGGGACGATGATGAACTTTGTGATGAAGAAGTTCAAGTCAGTGTTTTGGGGTCTGAAGTCTTTGGTCGATGTTGGAGGAGGAAAAGGTGGAGCAGCCATGGCCATTTGTGAGGAATTGCCAGATTTGAAGTGCACAGTGATGGATCTTCCTCATGTTGTTGCAGAAATGAAGGATAGTGACAATCTAAAGTTCGTAGGAGGTGATATGTTTCAGTGTATTCCTTCTGCAGATGCCATTTTTCTTAAGGTTCGTACGTACGCACAAAAAAGTTTATTAGTTTAAAAAATTTAACAAGTTAATATGATGCTTCTTCAGTTCAAATTGATTGATTATTATGTATGGTGCATTCAAACAGAGATTACAAAAATAAAAATGGATATAAAAAGAGAAATAAATCCAATACATGCACATTCAGATACTACCTTTAATTTTTATGTTGTTATCTTGGAATTTCAAGCACAGCATGAATGAGCATAAAGAGATCTATCTAATATTGCTTAAAATTGTTGTGTTCTTCCACATGATTTTTAATTCTTTGGCCCAAAGGTAAAAATGATTGTTTCTTCCTTTATTTTATACACGTCTCTGTTTTAGTATTCTTTAATATGCTTGTGTAACTTTTTTTCCCTTTACTTTATAGAAATTTTAACTTCGTTTGTTAAATATATAAAAGTAAGCATACCTTCAAAATTTAAAAATTTCAAGTCAGTGACTTCAATTTATATCACATGTATCAAAACGAAATTTGAAAATGTTTGTGTTTTTGCAATAATGTCCCTCAATTAAAAAAACCATGCCACCTTATTAGAAAATGCTGTGTTTTTGCAACCTTTTATTGGCTATTAACCACCCGTCATTATGTATTTTTTAAGTGAGGGGCAATATTATAAAAGTACGACATTTTCAAATTCCATTCTAATAGATGTGGACTAATATAATTGAGGATTATGTTTTTCTAAAGCATCTAATTTTGTTCCTCCGTCAAACACACACATATATATCTCCAAGATGGACTATACTGAAATATCTTTTTAACTTAAAAAACTAAATTGATTGCATTTTTAAATCATTTTAATTACAAAATAATTCTTAATTACTAGAATATATTTAGGTCCTTGGATTCATTAAATTTTTATTTTTAAGATCCAAACTCTCCCTCTAGCTTATTGAACAAAGCATGTTATTGCGAACTATATAAAACCAGTTGCTATATAGTTAATTATGTATATTATATATATTTTTAAACTAATCCAATCTTCAAATCAAGACAGTTTTAAAAAAAGCAACCATTAATTGATGCCATATTTTGGTGGAGCACAAAAGTACAAAAGATTTTGTCTTCGACTAATCCACTATTTAAATAACGACGTGTCCATATTTGATCAAATTGATATTATAAACTAATGAAAATTAAAGTGGACAAAATGATCCACTACAAGAAAATAATGAAAATTAAATGTGTACATTAGATAGGTGAACAAATATTTTTTTCAAATAACTAATTTAACTAATATTTTTAATTTTTACAAATTAGTTAACTATTTCTTGTATTTAAACCAGAAGGATGGCTTCTTGTGTTTTGTGCTTTATGAGTTTTGTTTATAAAACATGATCACATGAGTGATGAAAATCTAAATGGCGATTAAATGGCAGCTGGTTTTGCACACATTAAGTGATGAAGAGTGCGGGAAGGTATTGAAGAAATGCAGAGAAGCCATTTCAAGCAAAGGGAAAGTAATAATAATAGACATAGTCATCAATGAAGAGAAAGATAAGCAGGAAATCACAGAAGCCCAACTTTATTTTGATGTGATGATGATGTGTTTGGTGAATGGAGAAGAAAGGGATGAACAACAATGGAAGAAGCTCTTCTTAGAAGCTGGATTTAGTCACTACAAGATTTCAGCTTTATTTGGTTTAAGGTCTCTCATTGAAGTTTATCCTTGAACCAAGTTAACTCTCGTGTTAATTATATGGAATTAAAAGAAACAACCATTATGTTCGAAATATAATTTAGTGTAAACTTTATATTTGACATTAATGATTTAAGTCTTAATTAATGGATTTCTAAATTTCTTTTATTTTAAAACTAATAGTGTTGGAGTGCTTTGACATTGATCGACAAGGAATAAAACGTAAGATGAAAAGACCATATTGTCTTGGAGATGTTTAAATGGAAACCAAACTATGATTTTAAAATGTTTTACGATAGACCAAGTAAATATATGAATAAATTTGTCTTATTTTACAGAAAAGTACTTTTTCATCTTACCAAACACCCTCTTATTACAGGACAGAACCCGTGTTCTTGTGCCACCCACTAGCACATTCTGCACCACTAGGCCAAGAGGCCTTTGCCTCCCTTCAACACCCCTAACAGTGACAATTTGGTATTTTGAACTGGTGAATGTGGTATATTTACTTGATAAAACTAAAAATCAAAGCACAAATACCCAATAAAAGATTGTCCTTTTCTTAAAAAATACATACTACCTTCTATCCTATTTATAAGACATAGTTTATAGATTATAAACGATGTCTTATAATTAGGACTGGAAGTAGTGACTGAATTAAATTTTAAATAAATAAATAAATGAATAAAATGTAGACTATTGAAACTTAAGTAATAAAACTGGGTGAAATATAATTATATGTTTAAATTCAAATCTTAATGACATTATTATGACTGAAACAAGGAAGGGAGAGAAAGGTGAAAAGACGATTGGGTTGAGGGTCGAAGCCCAAATGGGGCTAAGAAACGATGGAATAATTTTGAAGTCCTTGGTTCCTTGCTAACACTATTGGGCTCCATCTTCTTCCTGTGGGCTCTAGAAGAATGGGCGTAAGTCCTTATTTCTGTCTTTTTTTCCCCCAAAACAATAGTTTTTGTCGCCACAAACATTGTAAGAGAGGCCCATAACAATCACCGTACGACGAATCAGGACTGGTAAATTAAAGAACAGTGATGAATGGGATGTAGATTTACTATTTTAAACAAGGTATTGAAAAATCAGAAGATACTTATTTAATTATCAAAGTAATTTATATTTGTAAGATATAATCTTACCATGAATTTATTATAAATTCAGCACAAATTTTTAGCCCAAAAAAATTACTACTTCCAATGCTTAATATAAAAACTAATTGACTAGTTTAAGTAGATTAAAAAAATTAGTTAAGTTAGTTATTTGTAATAAATAGATGTCTTTAATAAAATATCTTTACTAGTTATGTATATTATCTAAAACTATTATTTAATGAAATATTTAACATATACAACTATTATAATAACTATCTTGAAAAAATATAGATAAATATAAAAAACAAAATAAATTGGGATATTATATTTAGGACTAAATTAAATGTCAAATCAACTCTTATATTAAATATAGGTGTCAGTATTAATTTAGCCAAAACAACATCATTTTAGTGTTCAGGCTAAAAAAGACGAAAAATGATAACATAACACCAGCTTGTTTGAATCATTTAACTCGTCAGCTTGACCGAGTTGCACCAGGTCAAGACTGAATTGGTGGGGCTAATCCATTTTCCTTTATAATACCTGGTCCATTGTGATTGATTTACTATAATCATTATCATTGTTACGCTGAGAAACTAAGTTGATTTCTAACAAACATGATTATCAAATAATTTAACGTTCAAAATAAATATTAATAAGGTTTGAATCTCCGCTAAGAAAAGTGTTTATATTTAGTGCGCGACAATATCTCAAATAATATTGCTTTCAATAACATGTGCCTAACAAATCCAAAAAAAAAAGTAAATAAATTATTACTAACTTGCATTTCCAATAACTAAAATATATTCATCGAGGGAAAAATGATGAGCATAGAGATGAAAAGAAGCTCATCCCACGCTAATCACCAGCTCTATATGTCTATGGGGAACTTAGAAATAGGAACAGAAACAGAATTTGAACTTACAGAGTTCGAGTTATCGTAAGAGATTGGCACGAGTAAATTTCATGGCTCCGGTTGGCTGTCTCCTCTTTCAAAAGTCACTTTTCCCACCAAAGTCAATCCTTCAACTCTTAATTTCTTCGTCGTATAACTATTTTAGCTGGACAATTCAATGATTCTATGAGTCTAAAAAATATATATTCACACCTGAGCTGGTAAGAACAGCAAGTTGTACTTGATTTGCCATTTTGCCCAATTATGAAGGATCACAGATGCCTCTGTCAAATTCAATATTATGTAATAGATGAAGGTAGAGTCTTGTTTTGAGGGATCATGTTTACAAATTGAGTCTTGTTTTGAGGGATCAAGTTTATAAATTGAAGCAATGTAATCATTCTCTACCTATCTTTCATTAGATCTGGTTGCAAGCAAAATAATAATAATAATAATAATAATAATTAATCACGGAGTTCCATTCCCAAAAGGAGTACCTTGATCTGGTTCTGGTTCCTTGTGGATTGCTCATCATGTTTGGTTACCACCTATTTCTCCTTCATAGTTACCTTCATCCTCCTCACACTACAAGCATGGGCTTTGAGAACCATAACAGAAAAAAATGGGTTCAAAGAATCATGCAGGCCCTTCCTCCTCCTGTCCCATTGCTACCTTTCGGTTTTCTGCATAATATAGTGAAGCCCTTATATGCAGAGGATCAGACATAACACAATATATGGATAAGTAATATCATGTTTAAATACAATTTCATATCATGTCTCTTGTATAGGATGATTTTGTTCCTCATGCAGGTTATTCATTTATATATATAGGGTTAGTATACAATTTTGCCCCAGAAATTTTCACGTAGCAACTGTGGGTATCCCAAAGTCTTTTTAGAATTAATATCATTCCCAAAATGTTAAAAAAGAGATAATATGGCGCTTGAATGTTAAAAATATTAATAATCAATATTATTTTTTTAACTATTAAGGAGAATATTAATTCTAAAAAATCTTTCAAATACCTACAACTTCTGCACGAAAACTTTCATGACAAAATTGAATATTAACCCTATGTCTACAAGTACATTGATGTCATCTTCGTAATTTGTTTGTTGTTATCTTAATTTTGAATTCTAAGAAAAAATTAAGAAAAAGGAGAGTACGTCTTCATTCATGTGCAACAAATGAGCTACACAACAAATTAAAGAAGTCAGATCGATGCCTGTATACCTATTCATGAGAGGGATAAGCTAGGCTTAGTCAATCATCTCACAGGTTTAAGCTTAATTTTCTGCTTTTACATTTTATCCTGTCAGTCTTAACAATAAATTAAGGTCATGGATTAGCCACGAGATCATATTTAATCTCATTCTTGTACATGTTAAGGTCATGGATTAGCCACGAGATCATATTTAATCTCATTCTTGTACATGGTGATGATCAGATAAAGGGATGTTAAGAATGCTCTCTCAGTACTTTCGTCAAACATATCACCTGCAACTTTCTTAGCCACAGTTTCCATAACCATCTCTTCCCCAATTGGAACTTGGATAGCCAACAGTTCAAACAATGTGTTCCAAGTGAACCAGTCTATGGAGACACAGGAAGAATCATCATCTCCATCAAGTACATATGCCTACTAACCTGCTTCCTCCTTGCTTTCTCGTGTTTCGTTCAATCAACCAGACTCTTTGTTCATGCAAATTACGTCATATGCACCCCAGACCAGGACCTGCCAGTGCCAATGAGCAATGAAGTAAAAGAATTCATAAGGGACATTGTAGAACAAGCAGTCATAAGGGGAATTGAGTTCTGGACACTGGGTCTTCGAACGCTCTATTTCGCTCTCAATTTCTTGCTATGGTTTCTTGGGCCGATTCCGATGTTTGTTTCCTCAATCGTCTTGCTTCTTGTTCTCCATTGGCTTGACTATAATTTAAGGCTTCTGCATCCCACTAGGTTTCAATGACTAAGTTCTCAAAAACCCAGAGGTCAAATTCAGAAGGGAACGTCTAGTATGGTATAGTTTAAACGTTCATCGGTGAATTTGTGAAACAAACTGACTTATATTAGATTGGGGGAAGTGATAATTACAATCTTGAAATACATTTGATTTTCCGGAAGAAAATAACAGATTAACAGTTCAGTGGCATTGAAGACAGTTCGCCCAGAAGGGTATACTATACTAGTCTCCCTAGATTGAAAGTAAATAAACTTTTTTAGAATGACTCATAAATATTTTTTTAATTATGATTTATAAAATATAAAATTAATATTTAAAAAGAGTTTTGTCTGGTAAATGTATAACGTGAATGCAAAGAAGCTCAAAGCCAACATGGTTTGATAATGTGAAAACCCATCTCGGAACAGTAGACCTATAGTTTTTTTCAGTTAAGAAGTGAGTTCAAAGAAGCTTTTTGCCCCTCAACTATTTGGTATTAAATTATTCATTATAGTAGTGTGGCCCTTTAAGCATCAAATTATTTCATATTAGCTCTTTGACTAAGAAAATATTGGTGTTGATCATTAATGTTAAATTAATTTTGGGTTAAAGAGCATTTTGCCCTTAAAATTTCATGCAAGAATAGCCGGCATCCTAAAATTCGTTAATTTTTTCAAAGAAACATGTCACATCATGTTCGTAACCTTCTCTGCTTCGTACAGACTTTACATTAAATGAATTTCTTCCTTTCTTTTTTTTTTTTTTAAAATCAAATGATACTGTTGCGAGTTAATTTTTAACCCAATCAAGTGAAATAAGGCGTCCCCATCCCAATAACTATTTCCATATGTAATAACTACAGCAAGTTTATTATTACACTAATTCCGCTCTTTAATATAAAAATTAATTTAATTTTTATTTTGATCTTAAATATAATATCTCAATCTATTTTGTCTCTTATATTTATCTATATTTTCAAACTAGTTCTTGTAGTAATAATAGTTCTAACTAATACAATTGATTAGGAAGAATATTTTAGAAAAGATAACACCTATATATTACAAATAACTAACTTAATTAATTTTCTTAATATATTTAAATTAGTTAATTAGTTCTTATATTAAAGATCGATAATAATATACTGTAATTCTTTGACCCGAAATGGTTCTT